GTTTAATTCCTCCTCACTCCAACTCTAATACTCTACCCATGATGCCATGCTGCCTATAGATTTAGTCACAGTTAACCTGTTCTTGTGTCATTTCATAAGTACATGTCTCATAGTTCTCCCTTCAAGTGCTATTCTTTTTTAAAACTTTTTATTAATTAATTTATTTATTTTTAGTTTTCAACATTCGCTTCCACGAGATTTTGAGTTCCAAATTTTCTCCCCATCTCTCCCCTCCACCCACCCCAAAGTGCTGTTCTAAGGCTCTATCGTGGTTTGGAGGTGACCCTGGAGAAGATAGCCATGCCAGAAGAACACAGGCTTTGCCTGGCCTCATCGAGTTGGAAGGAGTTTGAAAATGGCCCTAATTTGATAAGGAGATCAACCTACCTAAATGCTAAGAGGTTCTCAGTGGGAAGGCAGATTTCCAGGCTGATCTTGTGGTCATGACAATTCTTAAAATGAGGAGGGGTTGAGATTAGCTTCAGTGGGAGGAATGTCTACAGCAAGGAAAGTATGAATCTTTCTAGTGTAGTGGAGGGAAGGAAGGGGGAACTAAGTATTTATATAGTGCCTACTATGGGGTAGCCCCTTTGTAAGTACTTTACAAATATTATTTCGCTGGATCCTCACAGCAACCCTACAAGGTAGATACCATTATTATCCCCATGTCTGAGTTGAGGAAACTGAGGTAAACAGAAGCCTATTGGGGTTTTTTTAAGTGACTTTCCCAGGGTCACACAGCTAGTCAGTGCAGGGGGCCAGATTTGAGCTCAGGTCTACCCTGACTCCAGTGAACCACCCAGCTGAGTGGTTATACTACTATCCCAGAATCGTGTTGTTATATCTCCCTCAGGGTTCCAAGACTACCTTGATGCAGTTTGAGGTGTGTTTTCAGGCCCAGGTGCCAGCGAGTAGCATGCCACTTCCACTTAACCACATAACATTAATTAGGTTTTTTTTGGCTAGGCAATGGGGTTACGTGACTTGCCCAGGGTCACAGAGCTAGTAAGTGTCAAGTGTCTGAGGCCGGATTCGAACTTAGGTTCTCCTGACTCCGGGGCCAGTGCTCTATTCATCGAGCCACCTAGTGGCCCCCTTCCTTCCCCTTCCCCACCCCCACCCTCCAGCAATTATTTTTTACAAAGAAATATTTACTGCAAATATATTGCAAGAACTAAAATGCAAGTCACTTCACCCAGTTTGCCTCAGTTTCCTCATCTGCAAAATGAGCTGGAGAAGGAAATGGCAAAACCCTCTTTGCCAAGAAAACCCCAAATGGGGTCACAAAGAGTTGAAACGACTGAACAGTGACATGAAGACTGCCATTCACCTGGAATGAGAAGCATAGTATCTAGCATGAGTTGGATAAATATGGAAGGTGCTTTCAACTGTTACTAGAAAGGGTATATCAATGCACAAAGATGGCTGGTCACTTGGTGAGTGTGTTATAGTGGGGTTTCCTTGTGTATGGGTTAGATTAGATGGCCATAGAAGTCCCTTGATTCTTAAAGTCTTTGACTCGCCTAGGGTTCCACTCATCATCCAGGTAACTTTACAAACCAAAATAACGCTCCCCAAGACACCAGCTGCCCAACAGACGAGGTCTCTCCTAAATTCTGTGAGGGTGGGGAGTGTTTTCACTTTTGCATCTGCATCCTCAGCCCTGGGCACTTTGTAAATGTTTACCAAATGCTTTTTCCTCCTTCATTCAGATGGCAATAACAATGAATGATTAAATAAGTTACTGCCAGACCCTCCCCAGCCCGCCAACTCCTTCCTGGTTAAGGATTTTTTTTTTTTTTTGCATCTCTTTTCATATTCCCCTGACAAAAGAGAAAAGCCCTTTGGTTCTGTTTTTTCCCCGACGTAATTATGCTGATTAGTGTTCCATATGGAGTAGAAGCCATTGTTCTGGAGCACCCTGGGATCTAGTAATCCACTGAGCTGTACGTGTTTATGTTTCTCATTTCCTGGACATTCTGGGACATTGCTAGATAAAGATCAAGCCTGAACGTTTCTTGTAAGTTACAGTCTGTGTGATAAGCTTAAAGGTTGAAATGCAGTAAAGACCTAAAGTCATGGCAGGAAAAAAATGGCTCTTGGAAGCTTTGCCAGGTCAGAGTAAACTTTACCAGGAGATGATTATGAGATGGACAGTAACAATTCACGAACTAACTTAGTTTGGCATTTTTACTCCTAAAGCTAATTTTAAAAAGCCAGAATCTGAGTCTTCAATCCAATCCAATCTAGCAAACATTTTTTAAGCACCTATAAGTTTCCTACCCAAGCACCACTTAGTGGTTATTGTTTGGGCCCTGAAGGCTTGAAGTGAAAGTAAATAGTAATTGTTTCTCTTTTGGCCAGAAACCCTGCAGATCTTCTCCTCCCAGCCTGATTTTTTTTTTTTAATTAAAGGCCTCTTCTCTTGGGTCACTTTTTAAACAGCCCTAATCACTGAATGGGCATGCCTTAGTCAAAATGAGAACTTGGAAAGACCTTAGCTTTAAAAGGCCAAGGTCTCCAGCTGCATTGTGCATCATTTCCAGTTGTCCTGATCTATATTTGGCCACTGGACCCAGAAGGCTCCGGAGGACAAAGTGAGGCTGTTGACTTTGCACTGCAGTCCCTCACTTAAATCCAATTCATTTGTAAGTCATAGCATCATCTTCCTAATATCTTAGTCCTCTTCGAGAACGAAGGACAAAGGACACACAATACAACAACCACACACAACCCGGAGTTTAAGATTCAGTCTTCGGTGATGAAAACGAATTGGCGCAGTGTGTAAAATTCTGGGATTGGAATGAGGAAGATTCGAGTTCTAATTCTGACTCAGAAACTTACTTGTCTGTTGTGTGAGGCTGGGCAAGCCAGTTATCCTGTTAAACTTTGTTTTCTCTTATGAAAAATGGGCATAACAATTTAAAAAGATAATACATGTAAAGTGCTTTGCAGACCTTCAGGTGCCCCAAAATGTTAGCCATTATGGATTTCGGGGAAAACAAAAAGTTCCTGATGTCAGAGAACTTATTATATATAGCTGCCGGTGGAATCCAAAATGTAAACAGATAAGTAAAGACAGACTAATTTACAGGAAGAGCCATTTGTAAACAAAAGTGTTTTTTCCCTGTGTTTGAATTTTACACATCTTGCCTTTTACGACTGGGATCTAGGCTCAGCAAATACATCCACAGTTAATCCGCTCTGAACAAGACAAAGAAACCTCCCTTAAATTGTTACTCTCAAAAACAGAAGTATAAACTGACCAATAATAGATAGTTATTCCTTATTGTGGACATGAGACTATGCAGTCTTTATCCTTGACACAGATAGGTTATGGCTAAGTGAATTATTGAATTTTTAAAAAATTAATGTGATGAACATAAGCATATAGTTGCTGAGGTTTAGACAATTGCTCTGGCTTTAAGGTAGATTCCACCTGCGTTAATGCTCTTTAAACCAAATTCAGCCTTCTTGGAGGTGGGAGTTAAGGGCTTGGCTGGAGGGGCAGGGCCCTGGTTTTCCCTTAGGCTGCTAACTGCCTGAAATAGCCCATTCCAATCTAACAAGCATTTATTAAGCACCTACTACCTGCCAGGCATTGTGCTGGGTGCTGGAGCCCCAGAGAGCTTAAAGCGTATGGGGGAAGGAGGTAGGGTGGGCAGAGATGAATATTCGAAATATTCTAGGAAGAGATGAATAGAAAAGTAGGCAGCAGGACTTATGCAACATAGGAGTAGGAGAAATCTCATCTTTTCCTTGAAGAGTACACTAGCAGAGGTGAAGGAGTTGGGGAAGACATATCTTTAGTGTTGGGAACAAGTTTGCATAGCTCTTTGGAATCAATAGCCAATGACCCTGGCACAGATGATATTACTCTTTCCTAGAATCATGGAATGGTAGAGCTGGAAGACCTCGGAGATCATCTAGTAGTCTAACTTCTTCATTTTACAGATCAGGAATCAGGCTCAGCGAGGGGCAAGTGACTTATCCTAAGTCTCATAGGCAGTAAGTGTCAGAGTTGGGATTCAAATCGAGGTCCTCTCTTTTCATTGCATCCCAGCCTCTCCTCTGGTCCAGCCTCCATTCCTCTTCACATAGAAGAGAAAGTTGGATCCCAGAGAATAGGGACTTGTCCTGAGATCGGTTAGGAAGTGAGCCAAAATGAGAATGGGAGTCACCTGACTCCCATGCTCTTTCTAGAATATCATGCTGCTTTTCATTTGTGAGCTCTGTGTCACAATGTTATTAGATAGCCCTGGTTCTGCTTTTGAGTAAGGAAAACCCAACCTCAAACACTAACAGGTTGGAAAAATCGCCGGAGTGAGAGTCAAGAGGCTGAAGTCTGAATCTTGGCTCTGCCAATAATGTGCTCCGACACTGTGGATACTTCCTCTCTCTCTCTCTCTCTCTCTCTCTCTCTCTCTCTCTCTCTCTCTCTCTCTCTCTCTCTCTCTCTCTCTCTCTCTCTCTCTCCTCCCCCTCCTCCTCCCTCCCTTCCTTCCTCCCTCCGTCTGTCTCTCTGCCTCTCTCTCTCCTCCTCCCTCTCTCCCTCCCTCTCCCTCCCTCCCTCGATCTCAGTTTCTTCATCTGTTAAACAAGGGGGTTTGTTAGGCAGTCACCAGAGCCCTCTAAGCTCTAAAATTCTATAATCTTACGGACATATTTTAGGGTCAAGAGGCTCTTCCTCATTACCACTAATAGGAAGCAGGGCAATTAATCTGGGCACCAGCCTCTTGCCCTTCCACAACAGCTTGGAGCCAGACTGTCAAAGCAGAGCTAATAACCCTGGGCTTCTGCATTAAGACCTTCCTAGGGCAAAACTGAGTGGGCTGTTGGTGGAAAAGTTAAGAGAGCCGGGTGAGACCTTTGTGTGTGTAGCTTCGCTGGTCCCAGAGATCAGAGTGATTTTCCTTGTGTGTTTATATTTCCCTATGTTGGATTTATCCTCCTGGGGAGAGTTTGGTATAGTAAACTATTTTGCAAACAGTTGGAGATTGTAACACATAGCTGGCACTAAAGGAAAGGACGAGAAGAACCCTGTCACCAGGTAAGCAATGGCCTTGTCCTTAACATCATCCTAGCCCTTCCCTGTTTCCCTAGGTGTGCCTGGGCCATAGGTTAATGGAGCCTGGGAAAAGGAGGTTGGAGGACTCCAACCCTCTCTGTCGCTTGGGAAATGATAGCATAGGTCACGGCCCTGTTGGTAGTCATCTGTGGAGCCCTCAGCTGCTGCTGTTATCACAATAAGAACTCAAAGTTATGTAGTTCTTACAGTTTGCAAAATGCTTCCCTCTTATCCACCCTATGAGATAGAGTATCTGTGAATACTGATGCTATAGGTACAATAGTAGCAGAGTAGTATGTGATAAGGCTATGAAAATAAGTTGGACCCATAATGGGACTTAAAGAAAATGTTTTTTAACTTTAAAAAATTACATGCTTTATCAGTTGTGGTTGGTTTTTATGACACAGGCAATGGGGAATTATTGGAAATTTTTGATCAAGGTGTGTCCTAATAAATGATGTTTTGGGAAGATTAATTTAATAGCAGTGTGCAGGATAAAGTGGAATACTAAGGCTTGGAACCAGGAGAATAGGTAGCAAGTGACAGATTAGGCAAGAACACCTGAACTGCAGTATCAACGATAGGAATTTAAGTGTGAAAAACACCTTCAAGGAAGGACGGACAAGATTTGGTAGGGACTGATCAGAAATGAGAAACCAGGGAGGAGGGAGAGTTGAAGGTGATTGAGATTTTGAGTCTGGGTGAGAGGAAGGTTAGGTCATTGGGAAAAAGTAGGGAGTTCTAGAGGGAAAATCAATTTGGGGGCAAGATGATAAATTTATCTCTTGAAATGTTAAGTCCCGGGTGATGGCAGAACTGTAGGAATCAGGTAGAACCAGATGAAAAATGGAAGGTGTAAGACTGGATCTAGGCAAAGGGGTCAAGGTTGGAGACATGGATCTACACATGTAGTTTCTGGGCCCCATACTACTTTTCACACAAAATCTCCTAAATCCATCCCAGGTCTGAGGCATTCTGTAGGTTAGTAGCCACCCAAAACTATAATTCACACATCCCTACCAACATGTTAACCAGAAGAGACATTAGTTAAAAATGGAAGACATTTGATCAAGCCACAAGGTAAACGAGACAAGAAAAGTCTTTCTGAGCGTAGATAGGTTACCATAGCCAGTGAAGAACAGTCCACATGCAGAGAACATGTGTGACCAGAGTTCATGCATGGAGGGCACACACATCAGGAATCTGTATGACCAGAATATAAGAAAAGAGGGTACACGTTTAATAGAGGCATATGTGGCTAGGGAGCAGTTGTGCTGGGACAACCCATAACTCTGATTTCAATCAATTAATCAATCGATAAATGTTAATTACCTACAATGTGCTCTGTCTTCTTATTATGTTATTCCATTAATCTTCACCTCAAATCATTTCTTTGATATCTGTTGCATTGTCTCTACTAGTATCTTCACTTGTTGGTCTCATGTCTACTGGGCTTTAGCTCTTCAGGGCCATCTGCTGCTTTCTATTCCCATTTCCCAAGGTGCAGTGGTTAGAAAGCCTCTCACTGACAAGAGAAGGTTGAAGTTCTTTTAGTGCACAGCTAAGGCCATGATCCACCATACCTAGCCAAGAAAGATTGTCTGTTCTTTTCACTGTCTTTGTCTGGTATTGATTTGAGTCTCATTGTGTCAAATGACTATACTGTCTACAAAACTAAATTAATTATCTTAGAAAATTAAATTACTATTACATCCTTGATTATGAGCCTTTATTCCCCATCCAAGATGCTCTTTGATTGGCCTGCAAATGAAACTAGGAAAGGAACTAAAATTCAGGTGAATTAACTAGACTATATTCTTTCCTTTATTACACATATGTTTTTTCTGTTCCATTCTAACTATATTTCTTGCTATATTTTGTTGTTGTTGTTCAGTCATTTCAGTTGTGTCTGATTCTTTATGACCCCATTTGGGGTTTTCTTGGCAAAGATACTGGAGTGGTTTGCCATTTTCTTCTCCAGTTCATTTTACAGATGAGAAAACTGAGGTAAACAGGGTTAAGTGACTTGCCCAGGGTCACACAGCTAGTAAGTATTTGAGTCCGGCTTTGAACTCAGGTTTCCTGACTCCAGGCCTGCCACTCTATCCCCTATCTGCCCTATAAGTCTCATAGAGGAGGTGATAATTAAAGTGGCTGAGAGTGGATAAGACAGCAAGGGAGAAATTATAGAGACCAAAAAGCAAAGGGCTGATCACTCACATGAGGGGCCTTTCCATTAATATAATCAATCATTAATATGTCATATATATATGAATTAATCATATATATATATATATATATATATATATATATGAATAAAGAGAGTTGGAGGAGAATGGAAAATAGGAAAAAACATATACTTCTGTATTTTGGTTTTGAATACGTTCTTCCTGGAAGAGATAGAAATGGAATAAGATGGAGTTATGGGAATATAACTAATTTTCAAACAAGTAATAATTTGCCTTTTTTCCTTTGAATTGCCGGTTCTACTAAGTAAGGAACCAAATGCCTTTTTTTCCCTTTACTTGGTATAGAAATATGGAGAATAAAAACTCACCCTGTAGGTAGAAAATTGAGAACCACTGGAATCAAATGGATTTGGAGAAGGATTTGATCTTCCAGTCTTGATGCTTTTGAATTTGAGGGCACAGAGAAAGAAAACAGACACATCTACTGCCCTAGAAGCCACTGTGAGATCCCTGATTTGACATAATGAGAATCTTGAATTTGGATTGATTAGGGCTTGCCAGAACAGCAGCTGCAATGGCCAGTCAACTCATCATAGGGCAAGAAAGAACAATTTCATTCGATTCAACTTAATTTAAAAAACCTTTATTTCACTACCTTCTATGCACAAGCCCTTGAATAAAAGAATGAAATGTTCTATCAGGAAAATGCAAAGTCAGATTTAGCCTGTATCTAGAAGAGAGATATTATAGCCAGGAAGCTTTTATACCTTCTCCTAGGTAATTAATGCCACTCTTTTTCTTGAAGAAATACAGACCACCTACCTCCCATAGCATTTTCTCTTAAGCTGTGGGGACAATTTAGCCCCTCCCTTGACAGATGCATTAATGACTGCTAATGTAATAACTTTCCTTTTAATAAATGAGAATACGCATGAAAATGGCTAGATAGGAGCCACCAGGAGTCCCAAGTGTCTTATCATAGTCTTTAATGGTAATATTAAGAGCACTGAGAAGAAAAACGGGATGCTACAGGGATGGAAAGCCCTATTTTTTCTTTAATGTAATAGAAGGTCACTGCTGGGAAGGATAATTCATTGATCTAGCCCACTAATTGTAAGGAGATGGTGATTTCTCAAGCTAAGGGATACATTTCCTCTCAGAAGCAAAGAAAATTATGATTTTGTGTGTATGTAGGAATGGGATGGGGTGTAGAGTGCTTCTGTATACAGACAGGACTGTTGCTTGAACAGGCCCATAGCTTGTAATCCCCAGGCAGGCTCCTTGGGAACTCTGACCCTTAGAATTCTTAGTTGAAGATACGATATCTGTTTAACTTCAAATGAGTTCATATGAGATAATATTTGTAAAAAGCTTAGCACTGGGCCTGGCACATAGTAGGCATTTAATAACTGTTTGTTCCCTTCCCTTCCCTTTAAACCTGTGTTCAAAATATTTGGTCGTGAGTTGGGTCCTTGCTAACTTTAAATGGTTTCTGAAGATCCTGAAAAAGCAGGAAGTTAAAAGAAAAGTAACTGGGAGCCTGGTGTGTGCAGCTCTTTCCTTACAATTTCCAGCTACGGAAGTCCAATAACAGTGGGAGGGGGTGGGTGGTTTCAGGCCTCTTAGAGAGAATAAAGTGGAAGGAAGGAAAACAATCTCTTTAAAAGGATCCTGGGCAGAAGGTTTCATTTGTCATCTTACCTCAGAGGAAAAGATGCTGTGGGGAAAGGAAGACAATAAAGGCACAGAGTCCTTCTTGCCACTGGCCTGTTCTTTCCCTGGCAGTCAGTAGAAGGAAGAGCTGAGAATGAAGCCCTTTGACTGGGAGGACATAAGCTTATACATTTAGAGCTCAAAGAGAACTTAGGTCATAGAATCCAATCCCCTCTTTTTATAGATGAGGAAACTGAGGCTCGGAGAGATGAAAGGCAATTCAATAAACATTTATTAAGCACCTGCTAAAAGCTTGGTCATACAAAAAAGACACCAAGGTCATCCACTGCATTCTGGACCATCACCAGTCATCTTGACTTCTGTCCTGCCACTGGACTTCCATGACTCTGGAAGAGAGAGTGAGGCTGATGACTTTGTGCAGCTCTGCCTCACTTAAATCCGATTCATGCAAGAATCAAGACATCACCTTATGATGTCATTGGTTCTCATGAAAAACGAAGGACCTACAAAGCTGTGTGCTTAGCACACGGGCCCTGTGCTAAGTCCTAAGGATCCACATGAAGAAAAGAAAGGCAGTCCCTACCTTCAAGGAGCTTACTATCTAATGGGAGAAGAAAACACACACAAGGAAGCTGGGAGTGGGAGAAGGAGAGGAAATCAAATTTCCCTGAAGTTAAAACCAGTCAGAGCTACCTACGGAAAGCAGAGTGAGTCAGAAAGTGCAGGTCCTACCCTCTGTAAAGGAAAGTTTTGGGGGGAGCTTAGTGCCCTCTAGCCCTCCAATCAGACTGGAGAGGAGGCTGACAGATGTGGGAAGGTATTAAGTATTCAAAGCTGGGTTAAACACCATACTTACTCAGGATCATGCTGCCAATAATCCAGTGATATGAGATTTGAACTAAGGTTTTCACTAAAACATGCCTCCCATATCAAAGTCTTTTTAGAATTAGATCTCTCCTACTCTTGCCCCAGTTAACATCAGCAGGCTCCTTATTCTTCCTCAGATGGCAGTTCTTTCCTTTACATGTCCATCAGGGCAGCTGGGCCTGGAGTCAGGAAGACCTGAGTTCAAATCTGGCCTCAGACACTGACTAGCTGTGTGACCCTGGGCAAGTCATTTCACCCTATTTACCTCAGTTTCCTCATCTCTAAAATGTGTTGGAGAAGGAAATGGCAAGCCACTCTAGTATCTTTGCCAAGAAAATCCCAAATGGGGTCCCAAAGAGTTGGACATGAACTAATCAACTAAATAGTAACAACACATCTATCACAAAGTATAAGAGATGCAACAGGCAAACGATGACTGTCCTGCCTGGGATCAGGCTCACTTCTGGGCTTCTATTTGCTGAGCTGCCTGACTGTATGGATTCCTGACCCTTACTTGCCTTGACTGCTTGGAACTCCAAGGTCCCTTCAATTTTAAGGTTCTCTATGGCTGATTTGCTCTGTCCTGCCTTGACTGATTTCAGACTTTTGACCTGCCCCTGATAACAGGCTCCTTAGCAATAGGGGGCTTCTTGGTTGTCAGACCAAGTGACCTCTTGATACCTCTTGATCTCAGAGTCTTTAAACCTCTGCCCAGCTACACCCCTCAGTCCCGCAACTCTCATCTTGGTAAGCTGAAGAGACTCCAGAGGAGGTCAGCTAGGGTGGTGAAGGGTCTGAAGTTCACTCCGCATGAGGATTGGCTGAAGGGACTGCGGAACTGGAGAAGACTTGGGGCTGAGGGGCATAATAGGTGTCTTTAAGTAATTGAAGTGCTGTTAGGTCAGAGAAAGATAAATTTGTTCTGTTTGGTAGCGTTGCCAAGAAAAGTTTCCTCTCAATCAGAGCTGTCCTAGAGTGGAATGGTCTGCTTGGAGAGGAGGCAGGTTCCCCTCATTGGAAGAATCTGGGCAGCTTGTGGATGCCTACTTGTTGGCTATGATGTAGTGGAGATATCTTTGGAGTATGGATTAACAAGATAGCAACGGGGCCGGGTTGGGGTGGTGCGCTTCCAGCTTCCGAATTCTGTGACTCTGTGATGTGGGATATCGTGACTGGAGGCAGGAGGCAGAAGAGTTTTGATACCAGGCTAGCAAGCTGGTCTGGAGCAAGTAGAATTCTGATCCAAAGTTAAGCAGGTGAGAGTAGCTCTTTGAAGATGGAACTCAAGATAAAGGAGGAAAATCCACTAGGCAAGATCGCTTAATAATAGTGAAGAAGGAAACTTCGTTGGATCTTGGGGGTGCTGCTTTAAAAGCTTCCTCTGAAAGCATTATCTCCATTGATTATTGTTTTGTTTGCTTACATTTAATTGTTTTAAAAGAAAGGTCTGTTTTTGATATTACTCAAGTATAGAAATTTCATAGCATTAAATACAATTTTAAATGGTCATCTTTGGGTTTGATCACTTTTTTAGAGAGAAAACAAGCCCCAAGACCAGCTGTTAATCCATTCTGGGCTACCAAGAGAATATTTCAGAATGAGTCCCCCAACCCCTGTAGGGAGAGAAAGGGAGAAAGAAGGAGATAAGACCCAGAACAGGGTAGAGCTAAGAGATATGGGAAGTATTCAGATACAGCCAACTCAAGATTCCCACAACTGGGAGCCTTGGAGCAATATGTTGAGAGTAAATTGGGCAAAGCAGATTGAACCTGGCCGCTTGTCCCAGCTTTGTAGCTTTGGGTACATCACTTTACTTCTCTAGGACTCAACTTTCCCATCTGTAAGATGGGAGAGTTGTATTAGATAGTACTAAGATCTCTTCCAGCTTTAAAGGTCAGGGGAAGGAAGAATAGAATAACCCAGGCATCCTACTGTCCCTTTGACCCAGCCTTCTTCCTAAAATGATTTAAACAAGTTTTGCTTCAGAGCCAGAGCTAGCTGTAAGCTAACATGATTTCAGGGTCAAGGAAAAAGGACCTTCCTTTCCAGGTCTCTTCTTGCAGCCCCTCCATTGTTCTCCCACTGGTGCAATTTGACTGCTGCTCGTAGGATCATATTTTTAGAGCTGGAAGGAATCTTAAAGGCCACCAAGACCAACTCCCTCAATTTACAGGTAAGGAAACTGAGGCAAAGTGGAGGGAAAATGATTTGCCCAAAATCATGCAGGCAGGATGTAGCAGATCACAGCAGAGCACCTGCCCCCTGACTCCAAGTTCATGAATCTTTCCCAAATACCGTGGTGCCCATAAGTGTTAAAGTCATGCCCACCATCCAAGCCATAAGGGACTTCTCCAAGGTCACCCGAGCAGTAAGAGGCAGACCTGGGACTCCAGAGCCAGTGTACCTTCCCATCATGCCATGCAATCTCCCTTCTCCAAATCTCTTTTATTGTTGTTGTTGTTGTTATCATTATGATTTTTTTTTTTAACAGAGCACCTTTATTTTCCCCCTCCAGCTGATGTGGAAGAAGATCCTGCCTTTAATTACATCATTAGACAATGCTTGAAATGCTTGTGCTGTTGAAGTCAGCACTCTGGGATGAGTGCATTTCAGTTCAGGGGTCACCCTGGTAGCCAATGCCACCCAGCTTGGGAGGTGGGCAGAGTTCAAGAATAGGAAGATATGGGTCCTGAAAGTGGGGAGCAAGGTCCCCACTGGGGTCAGGGAAAGGTTAGGAAAAGGGAACCTGGAAAAGAGCAACTTCTCACGCTTTGCAGCCTTGCCTCAGGCTCTGGCTTGCTGTCGGTGAGGGACAGATAGAAGCTGTGGGCAAAGGTACTGTGTGTCCTTCCTGGCAATGGACGTGCCTGCCGTGGCAGCACCCACTGTACCCAGTCAGTTCTGCTCTGGGTCTCAGCCAGCCCAGAGCTGTAGTCCTATTCTTCCTGCCCTTTAACCTCCGGGAAAGCCTTACCTGGGAGAGCCCACAGTGTGTCAGTTTCCATTAGGTGGCTTCTCTTGGAATGACCCTCCTCCCCCGCCCAAGGTTCCTGGGCAGTCCCAGCTCCTCACTACCACCTTTCCTCCCTGCTACTTCCCAGTTTGCTGTTCTCCACCTTGCTTAAGAAGCTTCAGGGGAAGGGCAGCTAGGTGGTACAGTGGATAGGGCACTGGCCCTGAGTGCAAATCCTGTCTCAGACACTTACTAGCTGTGTGACCCTGGGCAAGTCACTTAACCCCAATTACCCCCCCCCAAAAGAAGTAGCTCTGGGGCTCCCTATTGCTTCTAGGATTAAAAAAATAAACAAATAAACTCATTTAGCATTTAAGGCTTTCACAGTCTGACTGCAGCTCGCTTTCCATGGTCTTATAACATTACTGTCCACCCTGAAATCTAGAGTTTAGCCAGACTGGCCAATTTGCTGTTTGCCTGTACCCATGTACGTGCCTGGTATTCCATTTCCCACCCCCTCACGTTTGCCCCATAACAGGAATGCTGTCCCTCTTTACCACTCTACCTCTTGGAATTCCCACCTCCCTTCAAGGCCCATTGGTTCAGGCACCACTTCCTTTAAAAGGCCTTTCCAGGTCCCCTCTTCCTTCTCCCTCAATCCAATTACTTTGGATCAATGTTTTAGAACTCTGAGGCCACCTAGTCTGTTTTACAGATAAGGAAACTGAGACCTTGTCACAAATGACTCATCCAGGGTCACAGAGATAATAAAATCAGAGCTAAGATTTGCACCCAGGACCTCTGACTTAAGAGGCAGTGGCCTTGTTAGGTACCCATACATAATACTTCCCTTGTTAGGGGCAGCTATGTGCAGGGGGCGCAGCTAGGTGGCACAGGGGATAGAATACCAGGCCCAGAGTCAGGAAGATTCCTCTTCCTGAATTCAAATCTGGCCTCCAACTCTTACTGGCTGTGTGACCCTGGGCAAGTCACTTCACCCTGTTTGCCTCAGTTTCCTCATCTGTAAAATGAATTGGAGTAGGAAATGGCAGACTACTCCAGTGTCTCTGCCTAGAAAACTCCAAATGGGATCATGAAGAATTGGACATGACTGAAAATGACTGAGCAACGTCAGTGTGCAGGATACATCCCCCAGCTCCTTGAAGGCAGGGACAGCCATGCTTTTTGTCTTTGTATGCTCTGATCCTAGCATGGAGTGCATTATCCAAACTGTATGCCTTTGGATTGAATTCAGTTGAATTCTCCCCAGATCTTTGCCCCAGATCACCTGTCTGTGAAATCAGCGTAATGGTGAAAACTAGTGACATTCTGAAATTAAAAGGACTTTTATTTTTGCATGTTTCAATGAAGAAAGTACGATTATTGGGGGGCAGGGGTAGTGGAATCACTCGCTGAGCAAAATGATACGTTAATGCCCATATTGTGTCATTGCTTGAACAGCACGCATCCTGAAATTCGTTCCTCTTCGCAGAATTTGTTCTACAGCTGGAAGCCACATTCTTTCCTCAAAAAGGTCTCTTGCTGATTTCACAGCATTAGTGGGATCATATTTTAGTGGCCAGCTCTTCCCTCCCCTCCCTTCAGGGCAGCTGTAAACACAAGGAGCCGGGCACTTACTAACTTAGTTCCAGGGAACCTTATATGGAGGTATTTTTTCTTTTTTACTAGAAGAATATTGCCCTCCTTGTGAAATATGAGTCTTTCCCCTCCCTCCATTCTCTTTATCAGCTCTCATATCTGAAAGTGTGAAGCTACAGTTTGCTTTCTGAAGGTTTATTCTCACACATTTTCCAACAATGGAAATTTCCTGGCTGGCAACTTTTCTGTGGTTATAATCATCACTGGCATTTATATAACATAGCACTTTAATGTTTTCAAAATGCTTCACAGATATTCTCTTATCTGATTGTCCCAGTAACCCTGTGGGGGTAGGTACCACAGGTATTATCCCTATCTTATAAAAGGGGAAACTGAGCAGCAGAGTGGTTAAATGACCATGATCCCACAGCTCATAAATACTAGAAGTGAGATTTGAACTCAGGTCTTCCTGATTCTAAACACAGTTCATTCTCCCCTCCACCACACTGCTTCTCTCAGAGTTGGCGGGGATCCACCCATTTATCCTGGGCAAATCCATCTACTGCAAATTGTCAATGTCTGCAATGCAGGCAAAAGATCCCACCCGAAAGAAACTTCCCACAGCTAAAGATGTATTTTCTGCTTTCCACAAATCCTCACCCTAAGGCCATACTTCCTTGTTTTTGAGTTATTACTGCCAGGACATTGCATATGATTAGAATAACTATTATTTACACTGAGTGAATGCTGGGGGTGGTTGATTTCCAGCTGTATGGACTACCTTAGGTTTTCTTCTTCAGTGCCAGATACTCAAATGGCATTGCCCGCCTTATCAGGTGGTACTCCTCCAAGTATTTGCATGTGTATATTACATCTCAGAGTTGAGTATATCTTTACAGGGATAGGGACTAGGCCCATGTTCTGTTGCTATAGGGAATTCCCCATGAGGAGTGTGGGAGATAACTTCTATAGCTACGATTGACCCCATTTTAAAGATGGGGAAACTGAAGCTCTGGGAGGTTGTGACTTGCCCGGCACCACATATCTAATGGGTTATAGAACCAAAGAACCTGAAGGGCCTTTAGAAGTCAAATAAAGACCATCACAATGGGGTTGCATTCAAATTCCCTCAGGATCCTTGGGGAAACCCTGTTGTGGGGGCATATATTCTCAGATTCACCATTCTAGGTCTCACATCCCCATAAATGTGTTTCTATTTATACAACCTGTCCCTAACAATAATGACACCTTTAGATCTTAAATATCACCATTTATTTTAAAAGGCAAAAGAAACAATAATACTCTCACGGGTACTCATATATTAAAGCAAATGCATGAAAAATAAATACATCATAATTCACACATAGACCTGGGTCACATCATCCCAACACAGGATTCAGTGTCTTTGGAGGAGAGTGGGAACACACAGGAGGCTGCCAAGGTAACCCATGAGTGAGGAAAACCCAAGTGTTCAAGGTCATTCACAACTCTGGAATGGTAGACTTTGGTGTCCTCAAGGACTGTCAAATAAACATTCCTTGGTGAATGCAACTTCTCTGTTAAATAAATGCTTTCACTGCTTAAGTTGAGTTGATCCAGCTGGACTTTCCTGACATTTCACTAGACATGATGTCTCAGCCAAACTAGTTAATCTAATGAGTAACTTCTCCGATTCTCTGCTTCCAAACTGTATCTTTGATCAAGCTAGATTTACTTCTTGGCAGCAGCTGTAATGCCATCACTTTCAGTTTCAAGCTTAGCTAATGCAGTTCCAAAATCTATCCTTTCACTTCTCTTTTCTCTTATTTTTCTGGGTTCAAGTTCCAGATCATCTCTAAAAATGACCCTACCTTAGTTTATGAGGAGTAATAAAATTCTTATCTTCTATCTATAATTAGAGAAAGCCAATTTGTCTTACAGTCATTTGGTTCATATCCCTCCAGTTTGCTATAGCTTGTTACGTTCAGAATTCACCAATAATTCACTGCTTATCTCAGACCTGAGTCCGAGAGTAACTGCTTAAGAAACTGGTTCTCATAGTTACTGTTTCTCTAAGGATTCTGAACGTTCTTAACTTAGCAATAAGCTTTAAAGGGACAATACATTACATGTAAAATGATAGATTTGGACTAAATGAGGTCAGAAGTCCCTTTTGACTCTAAATTCTGTGATCCTAAGATCAACTAGTACAATGCTGTCATTTTACAGATGAGGAAATATGATCAAGGAGGTTAAGTATCTTGGATTACATAGCTAGTACCTAATGCACTTCACTGCTCACTGTCCTTTCCAGTATATCATACTTCTTACAGAGCTCCTGTAATCCAGCTGGGGAGATCACTTGCACGTATGAAACAAATGAAAGACTATAAAACAATATGCATTAAGTATTAAATGGTATGACCCAGTGTAGGAGATCAGAAAATAAGATCAATGGGAAATGGAGTCATAGAGGAAGGTCTCATGGAAAAGTTAGAACATGGAGGAAGAGCAGAATTTGAAATAGGCGAAGATCAGAATTTATCATTCAGTGTCTTTCAGGGGTTACCTGGCTTTTCAAAGGTTCAGGACATTGTCCTGAAAGTCCAGAGATATTACGTGTGGTCTGGCCCAACATGGGGGATTGCTCATCTCAATTGTACTAGGTGATCCTGCTCCCAGTTTTCTCTCTCTAGAGAAAGGATAGGTCTGGTCAGTCAGTAAGTCAAAAAATATTTATAAAGTGCCTACTATGTGCAGGGCACTGTGCTAGTACTGGAGATACAACCATGAACAAGAAAGTCTGTGCCCTCACGGAGCTTATAATCTAAGGGAGGAAGACAAGACATAAAAGGAAGCTAAAACTGGGGCTACACCTTGGCTCCACTCCTTTGGACTAGACTCTATCATATCCCCCTGGCAACCTTTATTAGGACATTCATTTTTCTGTGAGATTACAGTTGTTCAGTCATGTCCATCTCTGTGATTTCATTCGAGGTGAGTTTTTTTTCCCCCTTTTTCTTGGCAAAGATACTGGAGTGGTTTGCCATTTCCTTCTCCAGCTCATTTTAAAAATGAGGAACTGAGGCAAGCAGGGTTAAGTGACTTGTCCAGGGTCACACAGCTAGTAATAGCCTTGGTACCCACGCTTCATCAGTACTCTGCCCCTCTGATTGGAGAGTTAAAAGGTGGGGCAAAGAACTCCTCCTTTTAAAGAGGGGCCCCAAGCCAGCTGTCTCCTCATTTCCCACCCAGCAACTGTCCTTCTGACTGGACTCCATCGTGCCCCCACCTAGGTACTCTTCCCCATCCCCTTTTAGCTTCCTTTTGTATATTAGCTTCTCTCATTAGATTATAAGCTCCTTGAGGGCAGAGACTTTCTTTTTCATATTTGCATCCCTAGCACTTAGCACAGGTGCCCTGCGCGCAGTAGGTACTTTAAAAGTATGTATTGACTTACTGAGTGACTGACCAGGCCTACCCCTTCTTTAGAGAGGAAACTGGAAGCAAGTTCACTCAGAACAATCCAGATGAACAGCCCCAGGTTGGCTCTGATCATAACCCTCCTCTTTACTTACCTGACCAAGTCTAGTGAATACTCTATAGGGGTATGAGAGCATCTCAAGCTATGAATCAAGAGCAACATGGACCCTCATTGGGCACCCCTCCTCCCT